AACAAAACTTTGTTCCAAAATCACAAGAAGACCAATTGTTTTGCAAACATTTTCTCCAGACAACCCATGAATTTTCAAACCTAAGTTTTCAGTTGAAACAAAATGCCATAACAGGCCATAAAACCAAACTTATTTCTCAGTTTATTTCTCAAAAACATTCGGTGAACCTCAACCATCCCCCAATTACAACCATAACACCCACGGTGATTCCACAATTCAATACACACATTTCTATCACAACAATGAATAGAAATAAATACAGTACCAAGAGATATAATACAACGCAAATAGCTTTCCAAATCTCGGAAGTCTCAAATCAGCACAATACCAGTAATATTAATCGACATAATTCAATGGCGCAAAAACGCTTACAAAATTCACACATTAACACGTTACCCCAACTTAAAAGGTTTTACACATCTACACCAATCAAACGCACCCATAAGGGAGGCTCCACGCCCCCAAGAAAAATCAGAAATACCCCTTAACCTTACAACCATTAGCTCAAACCGAAAAAATGATTTTCGAGGTGACTATGTGTCAACCAACTTTGAATACCATACGACCAAACCACCAATCCTCTCTTCTCACAACTCAAAGTCCAAAACAAAACACACTCCTACCACTCAACAAGGCATATGAGACCAACATGAGACATCACAAGCCAACCCGTTTTCCCAAGACATCAATATGGCATAATAAAACTAGGATTTCCAATCATTACGACATTTTTCAACACATTACAAATGAATACAAAGTTAAGTACATAACCACATTTAGGTTTACAACCACATACACATATGCATAAACAACATTCGTAGGCATATAGCCTTACATAAGATAACATCAAACGACACTACAAAGCATCAAAACTCTTTCACACTTCCAACCTCACTATTGTCTCTGCTTGGACTACTGAAACTGTCCCTGCTCCCTCAGAAGGCAACGACGCTAGACATAGCATGTCCAACCACATCTAGAACACCAAGGTGGTCTCTTATTCTGAGACTGACTCGAGGACGCCTCAATCTAACTAGTCCCTCCACAGGATGAGTCCGAAGAAACCAAAGTAGCTTGAGGCGTCAACTGCGCCTGTGCCTGAGATCTTGCCCGCCTCTAATTCTTACTAGGTCTACCACCTCTCTGAATAGTCGAAATGGTCGGTATGGACTCTTCCTTCTCATCCTAACCAACACTATTAATAACGGTTTCCACGCCTAAGTTACAAGACACACTTAGTCTCGAAACACATAACTCTATCACATAAAGACAATTAAACACTTAATCACAGAATCGAACCAAGTCCACGAGATAACTATTCGCCCCAAAACTCTCAAGGAATTTCTATCAAAAACCACGTTAATCAAGCGTATTTCCAATAGAACCTCAAAGTAAGTTCGTCGGTGACAAGCATTTTAACCCCATGCTCACACAGATGCAACACATAATGTCCTAATGCATAAATCATCTGTATGCAATGTCCTCACCAAGTATAGCAAACCCACTATGGTAAAACCACTTCCCACGAGCCCAAGGTATTCGACCCGACTCACTCTGATACCAAGTTGTCAAGCCCCGACTTTTATTATTCAAATTCATTACCAACTTCATTATAATAATTACATTTAGTTGAGAACATGAACAAAAATAAGTAATAACATTCTTTCACGATAACAATGATGATATAAATAGAACATGGCACAATGCCTTTAGGCTTACATTGAATGACAAATATTAAAACAAAAGGGATTCACCCTTGTACAGTACATGGCACTCGCCCTATGAATAAAGGGCCCTGTGGCCAACAATTTAGAGACTTCAAGTCATGAATTATCCTCCAGCCTTGTACTTGAAAAAGGTTATCAACACGTGGGATGAGCACCAAGTCCAGTAGAGATCCCTAAGATCCTAACCAATCACAACATATAGATAAAAATGATCATGAATGCATCAAGACATATCATATAAGTAGTGTGACATTCAATATCCAAAATATACTCATATAACTGTATTTTCTCAAAACTCCCCTTGACCCAATTCAGTATAGAATTATTTCTTCTTTTTCACATTCCCATCATTACTTCCAAAAGAAAATGTTTTAAAACCTCATTCTTTCTTTGATAGAACTTCCCATGTTAACATAAAAGAATCTCACTTAAACAATCGTTCTGAAAATACAACCCAACATGAAGATCATAATCCCCATCTTCCTTCTCAGTACACCATAAGGCTTTACATCCCAATATATATCTACAACCTTCCCTGACCATAGGCCCAAGGATTTAAAAAAGTGAATGGTATGAAAAATCGTTAACACATATATTCATTCAAACGAGATAACTGAAGTAATACATATTACTAATCTCATCTCCACCGGCCTACAGCACGGATGGCAGATTCAACAATACCAATAACACATAACACTTTACCGACCTCACCCAGAAGGAGGTGCTCCTCAGGTCACACTTTACTGGGTGCAAACCGGAAGGGAACAAAGAACCTATCATAATGCGACACGCTTTGCCGGCTAAGATACAGCAGGAAACGGACCCCTTTTTCACACTTTACTGCGTGCAAACCGGAAGGGACAAAGAAATCTCTGTCAAGGCGCCACACTTTGCCGGCTCAACACGGCAGGTAACGGACCCCCGAACATCATCACAATAAAATATAATCATGCTAATCAACATCAATAATACACAGTGTAATACATACACCTAGTCCGATCGCCTCCATAACAATCACTACCAGTTAATCACATTAACTCATTTCTTTTAAAATGTACTCCACAAACCACAGTTCCACATGGGTTTTCCTTTATTTCAAACATTCCCAAAACACATCATGAGGTGCTAAACATCAAAACATAACTATTCAACATCTGTCTCTCAACGGAAACAACATTTACAAACGTTCCACTTACCTTTTAATAACATAATTCATAACTCAATAATGGAATCGTCTATTCACCATGTTCATTTATCAAAGACAACACATAGTGTTATATTGCATAACCCATCCTACAATAGTACTCATAGTCCTTCTCTAGCAACAAGCAATACCATCCTCCACCGATGGCCAAGGACAAAACTCTAAACGTCAATCACATAATCTGAAAAATAAATACACCCTTAGGTAATTCTACATTCCCGTTTAACGCACACCCGCACGTTTTATAAAAAGGGCAATTAGTTCCACTTTGTTTTGAAAATACAATCTTACTACTCCATATCCCAACAAACACCACAATGGCCACGTCCACCAATGCTAGTTCAAAACCCAAATTATTCATACACAACCACATCATATTCCCATTTCTATTCAACATTAAACTTCTCTTTGATATTCCAAATTAAGAAACGATATACCAAACCTTTCCAATTTATATCCTAAACATGATTTGTAACCCACAACCAATCATACACAAACCCACAACTCTCCATTTTAAACCTGAATCCACCCATATGCTTTTTAACCAAAAACCAACAATAAACTATGTTTTTAAATGCCGTAAAAACTACCACAAGTCTATCTATGGTAAAGTATTGAAAAGAAGCTTAAGAATCCCTACCTCTTGAAGCGAAGAGGAGAAGAGTCAAAAATCCACCGGCGACGAAAACACGATTTGCTTAGATTAAATTGAAGCGCTCGCGACCCTCTACGTTTTGATGTATTGGACTAGGGGTAGAAAATGAGTGTAACTAGATGAAACCCAAGCTTTTAGGTCCAGGAAACCCTAAAAATGGTGAAAATTGAGGGAAGAGGAAGAGAGAGAGAGAGAGAGAGAGAATCAAAAAGGGACTTTTTCAGCGTGTTGCGGCCTTATATAGACGCACAGTCCGCTCGAGCACAAGAAGTGACGCTTGAGCGTCCGAACATAAAAGTGTAACCGCTCGAGCACAAGAAGTGTTACTCGAGCGTATAATACAAACTCTCAGAAGTTTTATAGACAAGTGACCACCGCTCGAGCACAAGGAGTACCACTCGAGCGATCACTGCTCGAGCGCAAGAATGACAACTCCCAGTATCTCTACAGACCTACAATAGTGCTGGAAGTTCACAATAATCGCTCAAGCACAAGAAGTGCTGCTCGAGCGTAGAAGAAAAAATTCTGAGCAACAACAGTTTGAGAAACAAGTCACCAACCCGTTCCTAATGCAACCAAGACACTCCAATAACCAAACCCAATGAACAATGAGTAGCGGCAAAACATGAACAACCAAAAAGGCAATGAAACCCGGATCCAAAACATCCATGGGTCGGATTCAAACCAGGGTTGCTATATTATTTATAAATTTAAATAATGTAAATGTAAATAATAGCTAAATTTATTTATATGTAAATAATAGCTAACTATAGATAATAAATTTATATAATAGTAGTGGTAGATATTATTATGTTGGTAAGATATTGACTTTTCTTTTAGTATGTTTATATATATTGTATATATAATTATATACTCAAAATTTCAATTGTAACTTTAATCTCATTCGCAAGTATGAATTTATAATTTTTTGACTCGTTAAGGCTGGAGTTTGAGTCAAGCCTAAGCCAACTCGGCTCTCTTGATTTGTTAATTTTTTATTGAACTCGAGTTCGAACTTGTTAAAATCTTGATAAGCAAGTCCAAACATACTAAAATTCAACTTGTTTACAGCAAGCCCTATGTGTGATTGCTTAGATGATATTTTTATCTCAAAGTACTAAACTGATTTTAACTAACGCTATATTTGGTTAGGAGATTTAGAAATAGAAAGAGAAAAGTTGTGTGAAATTAAATAAAATATATGTAAATTTTATTCATATTTTACCTACATTTTCCCTTTTCCTGTCTAAATTCCTTTCCAAATCCCCTAACCAACCATGACGTAAAAGTATCATCAATCACAAATGTTTTAATCAGTTTAAAAAAAAAAAATCACAAATGTTTTAATCAACCTTTCTTAAAATAAAGTTGGTTTTATTTCTAAAACAAGTAACCAAATTATAGAAATCCAAGAGATCCATAGAATAAAATCTTATAACTTCATACACTTGAAATCTTTTAACAACCAGAATCTGTTGAGAAAACTTCCTCACAATACATTACAATGGCAGTTGCACATGCATTTGTTTAGCTATTTCTTTTCCTTTTTCTGGGGCTACACATAATTTCTTTATTATCTTTATCTCTATTTATTTATTTTTGCTGGGTTATTACCTTTTTCTTTAGACATCAATTTCTTTATTATCTAATACACTCCTACAAAGCAATATCTTACTTTGATAGTTCTGTCTGTGAAATTTCACTCTTACAAAACAAGGCCTTGTTAATTTATATGCTGTGTAGGGCAAACCCATTCATCTCTAAACGTGTGGCCTGTCGGACTAGCAATGGTTTTACAGATTTGCCAATATATCTCTCTTAGCCGCTCCTCCACCGGGAGTACTCCCACTTGAGCAGCAAGCCAGTCCAGGTACTCAAACTGCAATTAAATAAAAAAAGAAAGTCATGTTTAAAAACTTGTGTGATTTGGAGAGAGAGAGAGTAGAATTTTCTCGGCCCTAGTCACCTATTTGGATAATTAAAGAGGAGAGAAATGGAATGAAATTGGAAGAAATAAAGAGTTGTAAACAAGTGAGTCCAGTCGAGTAGTAAGTTGTCCAGTTTGGTTAAAAAATTTAATGAGCTTAAAAAATGTGTTTAGGCTTTGTTTATTTTTCTAACCAATGTCAAACGAGTCCTAATAGAGCGGATGCTGTTTGAATCTCTCCAAAAGTGAAGATTTGTAGTGGGAAAAAACCCCAGCTAATTTCTGTCTTTACGAAAACTACTCTACAAAAGAAATTAAAAGAAGAAATAACATGATGAGTGGTTATTTTGGTAAAACAATGTGTACAAAGAGAGCAACATTATCTTTTCTCTCCCAATTTATGTAATCATTTATTTTATTTTTTCTCCTTGATTACCAAACAGACTGTTTAATTTGTTTGTAATAGAATGCCAAAATGAAACAGAGAACAGAATGCCAAAATGACAAAATATGCATTTTGTTTTTGGCCTCTAGGGACTAGAATGTGTCATCTGAAAACTAGTAAAATATAAAACAACGATACAGTGGAAATGAGGATAGAAGACCTCATTCGGATGAAGACGATGGGTATGGTGCTTGGGGATCCCACATTCCTCCATACACTGGTAATGTTGTTGAACATCGGCCAACATCTCCTCTTTGGATGGCAAATGGACCTTACCAGATAAAACTCGTGCTATCCACGTCGATTGCAATTCCATCATTAGAAATAAAATTGCCTGATTATCAATAAAACTTTCCACTGTCAGTTAGAGTTCATTCAATTATTTGGACAAAACAAAAGGTAAAACTATATGGAAATTCATTAAGAATGCTTTTTCTTGACCAAATGGTATCTTGAGTATAGTTTTGACCTCTTGGTTGGTTCTACAATAACATCACAGCTTGTTTCAAGAAAATTAGTTTTTTTTTCCTATTTTTCAAATTCCCACTCTTTAGATCAATGATTATTCTTAGAAAGGCAGCGTAAATAATTCTAACAAAAAATAAACTGGAAATAGCAACAAAGTGAGAACGAGAAGAATAAGAACGACTCTAACTAACCCGATAAGGTATGCCAACAAAAGAAAGCTGAGGACTAAGCTGTGGGGGGAAGACATGTTTGTAGAGTGGTCCAACACGGTTGTCCTCAACACTTACAATTCCATTTGTTCTAAGAAACGGAAAATGGTATTTGTACCTGCACAAAAAAACATTCAAGGACCCATGTACAAGTTTTTCTTCCCGGGTGAAAAAAGAAAAGAAATTAGTTTTCATAGCGTACCCAGTAGAATGGAAAATGATATCTGCGTGGATGGAAATTCCATCCTGAAATGATACTGTACCATCTTCATAGACCTGGTCAATCTGTAAGAATGTTGTAAAATGTTAGAAATTAATTCTGAAAAATCTAGACAGAGATAGTCTTCTCTAGAAGTTTTTTCAGTTTCCTAAACCCTTTTTGTTGTTAATTTTGTGTTCTACAGTTCTCTAATGTAACTATAAAAGAAGGCCTCAGCTAAGTTAAAGTAAAGTGATCCAAGATGAAAAACAGAGCATACTGTTTATAAAGAGAAAAACAATATAGTTTCTACTACAGTTTCTTTTCCAATTCTCTCTTTCCTTTTCTTTTCACTTCACAAATCCTTTTCGTTTCTCTTTCTTATTTGTAATTGTGATTTATGCCATAATTATTGATAGTTCTACTTCAATGTACTGAAATACATTATTGTAGAAAATAAAATAAAAAGTAAGAGAGACCTACCTTTGAATGCTGCCATACATTGTTGTGGTTATTTAATTTTGAGACTTCAACATCAGGGGATCTTGATGAGAGATGAACTTCTCTGGCCACTGTTGCAATATCCCTAGATATATCATGCGCGCTCGGTCCATCTCCAATCATAACCACAACCTGTCAATTGTTGTCCATAAAAACAATTTAATCAGAATCAGAAGCTTGAAAAAATAGGACTGTTTTGGCAATCCAATTGAACATTGAATCAACAAGTCTAATTTACTCGACTAACATCAAAAGATCGCGTAGAAAGCAATGGAATACCTAATATATATGTATTGGTATGTAAAAATAAGAAACCAAAATGTTAAATTTGCAATATGCTCTCACTCATATATATGTATATATATCATCAAATTTAGTATGTGTCCGTTAAAAAGTCTATTAGATACATGGGTAGGGATGTGTGTGCTCAAGAAATAAAAAATTAATACATAATGTTTTCTATTGGTTTTAAAGTACTTTTGGAGTAGTCCGTTAGCAAAGTGGAGCTTATTTTAACCATAATTATGATTAAACTCTATTTGATAGGGGAGAAACGATTATGTGGAGGTTTGTATTCCTGCCAAATAGAGTGAAGGAGAAACAAGATTTCGATATGGATACAATACTTTTATGAAAATTTTGATGAAATGTTGTTGATTCTTTCGGGAATTGTTAAAGAAAAAACTGGCAAAAAAACTAGTTGAAAATTACTCCCTTGGAAATCTCAAAGAAGAAACATATTATCAATTCGAATAAATGAAAAATGGCTAGTAGGCTTTGGAAGTTTTTTTGCAAATTTAAAATAAATAAATTAAAAAAAAAACATTTTAACCGTTGCAAAAGGAATTTACCCATTGAAAAACCATGAGGGTAATATATTTTTGAAGGACCGAAAAGAAGAGAGAGGGGAAAAAATATTTTTTTTTAAACAAAAAGAGAGCAAATTTTCGTAACAAGTAGCGTTAATTTAGAATATTTACTCTATTAATTACAAATATAAGATAACTACAACCAATAAAAAATAAATAAATAAATAAAGAAAAGAAATTGCATATGTACCTGATCTCGAAATGGTTCGGGAATACGATAATTGTGACTATGCACTTGCTTTCCGGGCCATCTCTCTATACCTGCTGCCAAAAACATGCATCAAAGCCAAACTTTATTATTTGGTAACAATTTTGTTTATAACTTTTTCTATTTATGCTAATAAATATTTTGAAAATTTAAAAAACAAACCATGAAAAAAAAAAAAAAAAAGTATCTACTCAGATGGACAAAGTTGAACCCAACTGTCAAAATATGCAATTAAGATAGTGCAAACAGAACAAAAATAAACACTGAATTTAGATCTTTCGCTCTTACCACCAACTTCAGCCATACCCACCTCTCCAACCACTGGTGTCGACAACTCCTTCGACTATTGATGTCAGCAACTAGCTCCAATAATTCCCTACCACATCCGGCTGCCAACAACCACCTCTCACAAGTCACCCCTCACTTGCTTTCAAAACAATCACCTCTGGCGAGTACCCACCACCTCTAGTTTTCGGCAACCACCTCTCACAAGTCACCCTTCACTTGTTTTCAAAATAAACATTTTTTTAGCATAAATAAATGTTTTATGTAAATAAAAAAAATTATAAATTACACTTTTGAAGAAAATAAAATAAGTTTAGCAACTTTAGTATAATTACATCTAACTCCTTTTTTTTTTTTTTTGAGTATTTTATCAGGTCCTGTTTAATGTAATATGACTAAATCACCTTTCTAATTTTTGCAAATATTTTCATTTTAAAACTAATACACAATAAAAAAATAACAATATAGGACTATAACCTGGAAGCTTACCCCGACCTCCCAAGGCAAGCTTCGATTAAGTCAGTCCGTTCCGAGTAAGAGACTATAACCTGGAAGCTTACCCCGACCTCCCAAGGCAAGCTTCAATTAAGTCAGGACTCGCACAGCGGAAGAGCATTAAACCAGCGCCCTATGAAGAGATCACCAGGGTGTCCTGTTGTCCGTTCCGAGTAAGAGACTATAACCTAAAAGCTTGCCCCAACCTCCCAAAGCAAGCTTCGATTAAGTCAGGACTCGCACAGCGGGGGAGCATGCATTAAACCAGCGCCCTATGAGGAGATCACCAGGGTGTCCTGTTGTCCGTTCCGAGTAAGAGACTATAACCTGGAAGCTTACCCCGACCTCCCAAGGCAAGCTTCGATTAAGTCAGTCCGTTCCGAGTAAGAGACTATAACCTGGAAGCTTGCCCCGACCTCCCAAGGCAAGCTTCGATTAAGTCAAGACTCGCACAGCGGGGGAGCATTAAACCAGCGCCCCATGAGGAGATCACCAGGGTGTCCTGTTGTCCGTTCCGAGTACGAGACTATAACCTGAAAGCTTGCCCCGACCTCCCAAGGCAAGCTTCGATTAAGTCAGGACTCGCACAGCAGGGGAGCATTAAACCCATACCAAGTAGCTGATTAGGCATAGGACTTGTACAGCGGGGGAGCATTAAGCCCATACCAAGTAGCTGATTAGGGCATTAAACCCATACCAAGTAGCTGATTAGGCATAGGACTTGTACAGCGGGGGAGCATTAAGCCCATACCAAGTAGCTGATTAGGCATCCTTGAGGAGCATTAAACCCAGGACTTGTACAGCGGGGGAGCATTAAGCCCATACCAAGTAGCTGATTAGGCATAAGACTTGTACAGCGGGGGAGCATTAAGCCCATACCAAGTAGCTGATTAGGCATCCTTGAGGTCCAACCTCCTAACCAACAGTGCTTCGCCCAGGAGATTGGCCTAAGGGAGGAATTGAACTTGTGACCTTGGGGCTTAAACCCCAAGGTTTTACCACAATGCCACAACCCCTTGGGTTATCTAACTCCTTTTTAATAAGGCTAAGGGAGGGGGAAAAAATACCTTGCTTGTTTTCACTTTTCAAAAAATACTTTTCAGAAAATTCTACTTTTTTATTTTTCGTGTTTTTTTTGTTTTTACTAAATTTTTTTAATATTTTAAGCAATTTCTTTACTTTTTAGACACACCTAACATAAATACACCTAAAAAGTAAAAAAAATGTAAAAAAAAATCTTTTAAAAATTCACTAAATACCAAAAATACAAAAAAAAAATACAAGAATTCAGTACATTTTTTATATTTTTATGCATTTATTAATTTTTTTAAATATTTTTTTATAAATTTTTTACTTTTTAGATACATCTAAGTAAGGTGCATCTAAAAAAGTAAAAGAAATATTTAAAATTTAAAAATTATTCACTAAAACTAAAAATAAAAACGAAAATAAAAAAAATCAATTTTCAAAAAACTTAATTCAGAAAACTCACACACAGTAAACATAAAAATAACAACATAAAATATATAATTTTAATCTACAAGAGATGACAACATCCCTTTTCTATTCACATTACTAACAAATTTACGAGGAAAATGAGACAAAAATTGTGTGATTTAAAAAAGAAACAAATAGTAATGATAAATATCACCAAATTTGTCTGACTGGAATGAATATGGTCGTTCCATAACACTAAATTAATACTCTTTTATCTTTAGAAGAAGCATATTCATGTAAGACATTGAATCTTAGCTTCACACAAGGCTCACAAATAGTTGCACTAACTTGTAAAGAGAAGAGCAAAGAAGAGTTCACATACCTGGAAGATTGGCCAATCTGGGTTCAGTATGATGACCATTACAAACCACCACAGCCTCAAAAACCTCCTCCAAACTCACCCCGCTCGTTCTCGACTCAACCACCCACACCGAGTCAACAACAGCCTCAACTCGTACAACCTCAGTCTCCAACCGAATCAACTCAACGAGTCCAAACTCCCTCGCAAACTCGTTCAAAAACGAAACCACCTCTTCATGCCCTGGAAAATTCCTCGGATCCCCAATTTTCCCGAATGGGTAGTCGGAAAATCCCATTATGTGTCTGGGAAAATTCGTGCGAAGCGAGAGATAAACACTACTGTGAACAATCTCTCTATCTGAGTCGAGCCCGAGTGGGTCATCTTCAACTCGGGGATCGTAAACCCATGAGCCGCCGAGTCGGTCCGATTTTTCGAAGATAGTGACTCGGTGGCCTTCTCTTTGAAGCTCGCGGGCGGCGAGGAGGCCGGCGACTCCGGCTCCGATCACCGCCGCCTTCACGGACTGTGTCATAGTCTCTGTTTTTTTGGGGGGGGGATAATATGTAGTGTCTCTGGTAGATTTCTGGTTGGTTTGATTTGATTTTGTATACAAATGAGGATGACAATGGTGGCCTCGTGGACAACTAATTGTGTTTTCACAATGTGAGTCAGGTTGGAATTTGGGGAAGCTTTATCTCCAAATAGTCTGTGTGTATTATGGTACCTTAATAGTGTATTTCTTCTTATAAAATTATGTTAAATCTGATCGATAATAAGGTCAAGTTTGGAAGATTAAATAAGTGTATTTTTTGACTTTTTATGAAATATGGATTGGATTTGGGTTGGATTTGAAGTGATGTATTAGAGAGGTGATGTGGCTTAAATAAGATGATGTGACTTAAATAAGATAGTGACTTTTTGACTTTTTGAATTTTTTAAAGGATGCCAAACTTGGCCTAAGTTTACAAATGATATGATATCACTAAATATTTTTGGTTCTATTAAAAAAAAAACATGTAAAAAGGTATTGTTTGTAGAGTAATATTAGAAACCCAAATATTCTATCAAAAGTTTTACTAAATGTCGAATGATGTTTTAGAGCACTAAATTGAGAGCTCTAGAGCATCACTAATAATGTAGCACAGTAGCCCCCACCAAAGTGATGTGATGTTTTGGCTTGAGTTTGTTTTTTTTTTTTTTTTTAAGCTCATTAGAGCTATTAGTGGTCCAAAAATTAGTGAAATGAATCATCACTCACCAAATGTCTCACATGAGTGTGAGACCCACACAATATAAGTCCTATGTAAATTCGACACCTATATAAGACATTTGATAAAATTTTTGACGGCTCAAGCATTTTTATTGTTTGTATTTTGATTATTTTATTGTTTGTATTTTGATTAGTTGAGTTATTGACTGGCCTTGCAAATGAATGGAGATGTTCAATGAATTTGAATGACACCTGGAATTTGTTTTTGGGATTTTGTCTAGGTGTTGTCAATTTTTAAAGAGTTATGTTAGGGATCCCAAATAAATTATCAAATAAATTATCAAACCTCTCACATGGGTGTGGAACCCACACAAATCACATGTGTGTGGGTCCCACACCCATGTGAGAAGTTTAGTAATTTATTTGATAATTTGTTTGAGATCTATAGCATTTTTCATTTTTAGAAGCTTACTTCTTCTTTGGCGTGGGCACATCAGCCAATGAATTATCATCGTTAACAGCAGCCACGATGGAACACATTAAAACGTGTTAAAATGATTAACGTGGAACGTAATTTTATGAATAATGTAAGAAATTATGAAAAAATGTTATGAAAATTATTATAAAAATTTTTTCATCATTAAATTATATATATAATAAAATATTATTTACAAATTAAATGATAAAAAAATCTTCATAAATTTATTTTATGATATTTTTTTTATGATCCATAATATTTTTATTTTTGTAGTGTTAAGGTGTGTTAGGAGTTATTTGGGAATAATTTTAAAAATTAGCTTATTATATTTTTATTCTATTTTAGTCACATTATTTTTCTATTATATTGTACAATTTTTTTATTTTATTTTTTTGTAAAAAGTAAAAAGTTATTAGAATAATCTATTCCCAAACAATCCCTTAATTTAGGCCTTGTTTGTCATAATCTTAAAAAGTTAAAAAGTCAAAAAGTCACTATCATATTTGTACGGGCAAAGAAAAATCACGTACTTGTTGATAAAGAAATCCAACGAAGAAGACGAACAGCACCACCACACAATCGCTATCTACAAAACAAAACACCCTCAACCGTAGTCGGAGGTCTTCCGACGCCCAAGTCAGTCCTCTAATATTATCAAAATATTTAATGGAGTAATTCATAGAGAGAAATTGCGTCCCTCGACCCATAAGGGTGTTGCCTATTTATAATATCCAATGACTTACCTCTCAAGTAATTTGAATGTTTCAGAAGTCCTATCTCAAACACTCTCCAGTTGTTCAGGACTTCTATATCAATAAGATTTCATATCCTTATGAGTTTTGCATAACATAAAACACTAATGCAGTGTTTGATAACTGTCATATACATGATAATTCATAACCATGCCACGTAGCAATGCCTGGACCCACATAATTCTTGTGGTTATTCCCTCTCAATTGCCCCAAGCTTTCATTCTCTTTGAACCCAATGAAAGAGTGAAAGCTTTCTGTTGTTATAATAAAAATAGTCGTGTAATAATGCCTAGCTAAAACCATACATAGGTGCTAGGGCTTATTCCAAAATGCATAACTTTATTAGGACTTATTTCAAAAATGCCTAACCTTGTTGAAACGTATTCCAAGAATGCCTAATCTCATTAGGACCTATTCCAAAAATGCCTAACCTTGCTAGGACTTATTCCAAAAATGTCTAACCTAGTTAGGACTTATTCCCAAAATGCCTTGCTAGGACTTATTCTAAAAATGCCTTGTTAGGACCTATTCCAAGAATGTCTAACCTCGTTAGGACTTATTCTAAAAATACCTAGCCTTGCTAGGATTTATTCCAAGAATGCCTAACCTAGTTAGGACTTATTCCAAAAATGCCTTGTTAGGACTTATTCCAAGAATGTCTAATCTTGTTAGGAACTACCAAAATACTAACTTGCTTATTGGCAAGCAAAATCTGCTCATCAAGGAATCCCACTATTGGACAAACCACCAACCTGCTCTACAAAAATTTTCAAAGTTGGTCGAACCTGCCAACTCACTTTGCCAAGCAAAACCCGTTTGACAAAGATTTTTTAAGTTGATCAAACCTGCTAACCTACTTTGCTGAGCAAAACCCGCTCTACAAAGATTTTCAAAGTTGGTCAAACTTGCCAACCTACTTCGCCAAGCAAAACCCGCTCGACAAAGATTTTTTAAGTTGGTCAAACCTGTCAACCTACATTGCTAAGCAAAACCCGCTCTACAAAGATTTTCAAAATTGGTCAAACCTGCCAATCTACTTCACCAAGTAAAATCCGCTCGATAAAGATTTTTCAAGTTAGTCAAACCTGCCAACCTACTTCGCCAAGCAAAATCCGCTAAAAAAAGATTTTCAAAATTGGTTAAACCTGCCAATCTACTTCACCAAGCAAAACCCGCTCGATAAAGATTTTTCAAGTTGGTTAAACCTACCAACCTACTTCGCCAAGTAAAACCCGCTCAACAAAGATTTTTCAAGTTGGTCAAACCTGCCAACCAACTTCGCCAAGTAAAACCCGCCCAACAAAGATTTTCAAAATTGGTCAAACCTACCAATCTACTTCACCAAGCAAAACCTGCTCGATAAATAGTTTTCAAGTTGATCAAACCTACCAACTTATCTCTTGCCCAAACCAACTTGGCAAAGAGATAAAAATTCTAACCAAAAGGTAGTGTAATTCATATTGCCCCTATGATCCATAAAACGCGAACTCCATCTCAGCATATTTGACCCAAATAATAGTCTTCATCCACGCTTGGTATAAAAACTCATATTTTCAGATAATAAAAATCTGATATAATAATTTGACTTTCCATGTATTCGTGGTCAGAATAATAATGGATAAACTCCGTGCTCCATAGATGATCAAAATTTAGCATAATAAAATATCTTCATCCGTAGAGTAATAATGCATAAAATCAATACTTCGTAAATAATAAAAATTCAATATAATATCTTGGCTAGGAAGCTACTGTCTTTTTGCCATGACTTATACTTTGATTTATGTAACCATATCGCAACTCATCTATTTCTTTTTCCTCTGTTGAGTTGTGTCAATCCTCTTATGTGTACGATTAACTTTACGCCGAGCTTAGAAACAACTTCGGAAAACAAAAACGAGTGTGTACAGACAAAATCTTGAAACTGGTTGCATGTGACTTTGCTAACATTGCTTTTCGTCATATCCGCATACACACATTATACTTCTATATATATTGAAATAGCAAATCTTTGATAGAGCCTTATGAATGATGACCATTATAAAAACAGTGGCTTAAATCCATGCAGATTTGAAAGCATATTTATACAAGAACACTGTATTTGTTTTGTTGTTGATGAACTCCAATGTAAAAGTATGTATTCGGTAAAAAACAACCAATATCAAGAACAAAGCCCTCCAAGAATGTTTACCGTGGTTTATTAATTATCTTTGTTGAATTTCATCATTTCCCACAGACGGCGCCAATTGTACGGGCAAAGAAAAATCACGAACTTGTTGATAAAGAAATCCAACGAAGAAGACAAACAGCACCACCGCACAATCGCTATCTGCAAGACAAAACACCCTCAACCGTAGCCGGGGGTCTTCTGACACCCAAGTCAGTCCTCTAATATTATCAAAATATTTAATGGAGTAATTCATAGAGAGAAATTGCGTCCCTCGACCCTTAAGGGTGTTGCTTATTTATAATGTCCAATGACTTACCTCTCAAGTAATTTGAATGTTTCAGAAGTCCTATCCCAAGCAATCTCCAGTTGTTCAAGACTTCTATATCAATAAGATTTCATATACTGATGAGTTTTGCATAACATAAAACACTAATACAGTGTTTGATAAGAATTTGATAATTGTCATATACATAATAATCCGTAACCATGCCACGTGGCAATGCCTGGACCCACATAATTCTTGTGGTTATTTTTATTCCCTCTCACTATTTAAGTCACATCATCTTATTTAAGTCACATCACCTCTCTACCACATCACTTCAAACTCAACCCATACCTAACTCATATTTCATAAAAAGTCAAAAAGTACACTTAATTAGATCATCTCAAATAACCCTAGTGAGTTTGTGTGGTCTTACAATAGAAATATTAAACTAGAGAAAAATGTCTTGTAACTCGAAAAGAGGGGGGCTCGAATGACCCGAATTAGTGTTTACTGGATGACCAGTTGAACGACAATCCAAACTCCGGACAATTGGGTGAAATACTTGTCTACCGCAGTTGTCATCTTGTCGGCTGTGGCTGTTAACCTTCTTGCCAAACGACCGATCGGATGACTAGCAAGATAAATTTTGAGCCATTCAGACCAAGTTCAAATTTGAACTACGTAATGGTATTGTGAAATATATATTAAAGTGTATAAAATAATTAATATGTAAAAAAAAAAAAATACAACAATCATATACCCATTGCACCAATCTCTCTCTCTCTCTCTTTCTCTCTACCATTCACTAAGGTCTCGTTTGAGAACATATTTTTTAGTAATTTTTTGGTTTTTTTATTAAA